TCGTCAGTTACCGTGACCTCGAATTCGGCCATGCGCAGCTACTTGCTGAAAGGCAGAACACCATAGGCTTTGCAGCTCAGGCGTAGCTGGCAGCGCTGCTGCTGATCACAGCTGTGGAGCAGCTCGCCTGCAAAGCAGGACAAAAAAGTTCTGGCTTCAAAACATGAAGTGGTCGTCTTTCGGGGGTTCCTACAACTGCAACAGTGTGACGCTTTCACGTTAGCGACTTTCACTCTTCTGACTTTCTCACAGGAGAGCCTGCAGGGGCTCCGGCCAGTTGTCCACCCTGCGTGAGGTGGAAGACATCCACGCCATCCTTGCTCAACTTCCCCGCCTGCACGTTGAAGCTGGTGCTGTTACCGCAGTCGACATGGTAGGAAAGGGGCGAGTCAAGTTCGGAAGCGTCTTGCAAACTCAGGGCGGTCGCCAGTCGGTACCCATGGCTCATCCGGCCGACAGTCAGGTTCACCTGAAGGAAAGTCTTGTGGAGCTTAAGGATTCAAAAACCAGTACTACTATTTACCTTCATCCCCGCGACCATGGAACATGAGCCCCCAAACCAAATTGGGGGATCATGCTTGAGCCTGTTAAGGCATGACCAAAGTTATCATACCCATGAAGATGCCAGTCCCACAGTGAGTCTGATTAGCTGTCACTCGTGATGCTATGCTTCAGATGTGATCTCTCTCCGTGCTTTCAGACACGAGATTGCCTCATTGACCTTCTGCCAGGTTCCACCCTCCAAGACGAGGAAGAGCTCCGTGGCTTCATTGGCCGCCACCAGGACCACGTCTGTGGACCGCTTCACCCGCGTGCACTCCGAAGTCCCCTCCTCCAGGCAGGCTGACGCTGTGACCTGAGCGAAACTGGCAGTAGAACTCCAAAATCAAAGTCGTCATGCATCCAAAAGATGTATGGATAAATGCGTCATGGGACAGTGCAGCTGCCTGTGCGTGGCAGTGGTGTCGCCTGTGGCATCTTGGTAATGCGGCCGGTATCTAAATCGATCTGGGCCCAGGGGAGGTCTGGTGTGCAGCGAAGCTGAAAGCCGTTGAAGCCACCATGGAAGCTGGGGGTGAAGCTCTGACGATTTGGGGTGAAGACCAGGGCGCCATGGGAGTAGGAGAAGTGCTCTACATGGATCTGCAAGGCCGCTTGGGGATCCTCTGTGAGGAGCTGGCCAGATCCTTTCGAACGGACCGTGCAGGTGAGCTCTTGGGGCTCTGGCGAAACCAAGTCTCCATAAACGCGGCCAGTTGTGCTGTTCATGGTCAGGTTCAGCGTGTGGACTCTGCAGCTCTCAGTGAGGTAGAGGGCATCCAATCTAGGAACAGGCTGCACGGACACTGCCGTCTTCCCAGTTGGCACGTGCACAGCTGGGTACATAAATGGCACTGTGCCCCGACGGCCTCCACCGCAGGCGCAGCAGGCCTCGTTGGCAG